CAACAATATATTCTATTTATATTTATTGTAGTTTTTATTAGGTTGTATTTATTCCAATAGGTATGCCGAATTTATCTATATAGTCATTTAAGAAATATATTTGTATTTTCATATATTTTTTCCCTATATAGTTATTTTTTTTCCAAAAATCTTGTATGTATTCATTTCAATATGTATTTTATTTGTATTTCTATTTATTCTAGTTTTTATTTAGAATTTTGTATAATAATATATAAAATACAAAAAATAAGTATGATGAAAAAGTGAATGAAATATAAAATTGAAAAGAAATAATTGAATCTTTGGTGTACTCATTCTTAAATAAAATACATAACTAGTTGACATACCTTTAAAATAAATACAAATTAGAAAAAGATGTCAAATTCAGTTGACATACCTTTATTAGTTTGTATTCATTCCAATATGTATGTCAAATAAAATGTAGCTATTTAAGAAATACATTTGTGTTCATATATATTTTTCACTGTGTATTTATTTTTCTTTTCAAAATCTTGTTTCCTTTTCTAAGTCGTATTCATTCCAATATGTCTATTATTTGTATTTGTATTCGAATACAAATAAAATAATAGAAAGTTGTTTTTCTTATAAATAAAATACATAACTAGTTGACATACATTTGGATGAATACAAATTAGGTACAAATATAATATTCATAAACCATACAACATGAAATTTTTAATAAATACAAATATTGATAGTATACATAGTGATTTGAATACAAATTAAGAAAGCATACGAAATTCTAAAAAAGAACTATAAATACAAAACAAACTAATAGAAAATTGTTCGACAACTATCCGATCTTCGTCGTCTTTTTCAAGATCCTCACGAGTAGACAAAGATTCTACAGTTGCGTTCTGAATTTGAGGAAGCTTTTGCACACCAATGAGTCTTGTAAATGTTCTTATCCTCTTTCTTCCCTCATTTTAGCAGTGAATCATACATTATACACTATTTTTTAAGTAATAAATAAATTAAAGGATGAAAAATCACCAGAAATTGGTTGATTAAGATGAATACCTCTAGTAAGCCTCTTGGATTCAGCCATTGGAGAGCAAATCATAACGGAAATTGAAAAATACAAACAACATTTTTTTAAGATTTAAACAAAAATAAAATTAGAAAAGAAATCTGAAAAAAAAGATAAAGATTAGAGATACCTTAATCAAAGGTATTCTTGTTGATTCAATTTTGGATTAAAAAAACAACCAAAATATATGGCAAAAAAATATTTGCAACTTGAATGTTGGAGGAAAATTAGAAAAGATACCATGAGAGAGAAAAAAAATTAAATGGGAGAGATAATTAACAATTTGAATAGATAAACATGAGAGAGAATGATTTTTTTTTTTAAAAAAAAAGGACATATAGAATAAATTGAAAAAGAGAGATAAAATAGGAAAAAAATTGAGACACATAATTTTTTTAAAATAATGATATTTTTACTAAATATGTTATTTATTTTAACTAGTTTACTAATTTTTCCTTTTTAATTCCCTAACTAACCCATTTGTATTCAGAAAGTGTTGATAGACCAAAATTGAATTCCTTTTCCATGGATCCCAGTCCATACCTAAGAATCCGACCCAAACTTTCTTCTTCAACAAAAAACAAACCGTGTCCAGAAGCAACGACAACGTGCCTGAGCAACACCACCGATGTCTGGACGCGCCTCATGCGAGGGTGAGTTCACAAGGGCAGCAACAATATCTCCAAACGATGCCTTTTCCGTCAAAATACACCAAAAAGAAGATGTGTTTCTCTTTTCCGTGTTGACGTCTTCCTCACCAGTACACTTATATAGTAGATCAGTTTGCTTTTCAATCCTTCCAGCTATGTCTGGTTGTCCTTGCTCGCTTGGAGATAAAGCCACATAGCACTCATGGATGATCGATCGATCCAAGCTCTCGACGCTGCCCCTGTTGTCTGAATTTTGTGCGGGTTTGGTTTTAATTCTCGTACAATCTAGCTGTTCCTTCATCCTTGGAAAATTTGAATTGAGAATTGATTCTAGGGTTTCAATTCTGCCCTTGTTCTCACCCAAAATATACCTTTTCCCCCCAAAAGGTAAAACCTAAGATTCCCACTATATATACGTCTTTTCTTTTCATCTAAAGGGTGGGACTTTTTTAGTCGAAAATTTTAGAGAAATATTAATAGATACTTCAAGCAAAGACTAAGCAAGTAAAATATAGTGAGACGTTCAAAGCGGAAAACTTAGTTTTGGTCGGAGTATCACACTTTTTATTTTGTTTTGAATCTGTTTCTCTCAACTTCCTCCGTGTCTGAGGTTTTGCACAGAATTCTGGTTGATCGTATGTGTTCGAGTTTCCATTTGTTTGTAAAAGTTGTTGTTCATCCTAGCTCATTACTGTCTCCAATTCGCTGCCCGGAAAGAGGTGCTTGCTTTTCTTGATTTCAGTTTAATTAGTTTTTTGCTGTTCTATGTTTATATTGAAGTGTCTTTGACGGTGTTTTACTTTCAGTATTAAATCAGCTTATTGACTGCCTTTGTGTTGCTTTATGACTTGTTCTTGTTAGATTTCTGAAGTGTTTGGTGTTTGGATGTTATAATGATTTGTTTATTTCATCATAGCTTGTACAATCTTTCGCTATGAACATGGGGAAAGTTGTTTAAGCCTAATTTAGTTTCATGGAGTCGATCATGATCTCTTCTTCATTTAGTATCGGAACCTTTCATTTCGAATCTATATTGTTATTGATTTAGCTTAGGCTTAATCTTGTTAGAGCTATTGTATGAGGGTTCTTTTAGTTGATTATACGTTTAATCTCATGGATTGATTTTTTATAAGTCTCTGCCTTTCATTATGCTCGCCATAGTGTAATATGATGTCCAGCATGTCTTGAGCCTTAGTTGTTCGAGTTCTAATCAATTTTATATGTGTGATAGCATAATTATTTGCTCTTATTTTGTTCATGTAAGATTATTTTGAAATGCTTCTGAAATTTGAATATTCTGTTAAGAGAACATATTGTTGTTATTTGCTCTCATTTTGATTGTTGGTTGAGCTATTTTGAAGGATATTCCTAGCATGTTATTTATTCTAAAAATAATCATAATGCATTCTCCATTTCCATGATTTTTTCTCACTTACAAAATGTTATGTTATTCATTTTTGTTGTTTGGTTTTGGTTAGATTAATCTGTCCGTTACTGGATTAATTTAAAGTTATTCTCTTACAGTTTTGATGAGCGTAATTGTTAGTTATAAACTAGACTAGTTTGTGGTACATCTTCTATATTTAGGTGATTATGATCTTAAATTCAACTTTGTTAATGGCCCTCACCCTTGCTTATTATGCCTCTTCTTTGTTTTTGTTTAGTTAAACAACATCTACTTCAGTTGAATGTAATGTTGACTCACAATTGTTTGTTGTGAAATGCATGTGATCGGTGGTGGAATTCTATTCTCACTCTAATGCTTCTTCGTTTGCATCTAGATTGGGTCACAAAATCCCAATAGCGTTATCTCTTGAGTCAGTCGGTCAGTCGAAACAAGGAACAGGTCTCCAAAAGTCGATGCATAGGTTCATTTAGTTAAACATGTACTTCAGTTGAATTTAATGTTGACGCACAATTGTTTGTTGTGAAATGCACGTGATCGGTGGTGGAATCCTATTCGGACTCAAATACTTCTTCATAGGCATCTAGATTTGGCCACAGAAGCCTATTAATAATGTCTCTTGCGTCAGCCGATTAATGGAAACGAGAAACAGATCCCCAAGAGTTGATGCATAGAAGAATCAGATGAGAATTGGAAATCTTATCAAATTTGTATTTTTGTTATTTTGGGGTCTAAGCCCTTGTCTTTTGCTTTTATCATTACCATGTTAAAATTTTAGGAAAAGTGGAAGATGGTCCTAAGGCCCAAAGAGATAAATTTCAAAATTTTAACTTGGAATACATACAAAGGTGTCAAGAATTGGGCCTTTGGCCCAAAACAAAAAGAGGTCCAAGTATTGGCCCAGGCAGACAGAAATAAGACTTGGGCTCAACTCTCTCTTCCTCTTTACATCAATGCTTTTAATTACATCTCAATATTTGTCGTAAGCCTTAAGGTTGCAAATTTCAAATCCTCAAAGGACGTCCATTTTGTTAAATAATTTAACTAAAATTGGTCAACTTCAAATCAACTAAAAAATAAAATTATTTTTTCAAGAAAATATCTCGTTTAGTAGGGAAATATTTCCAGTTTCCTTTTTAAAATGATTTTAACTATATAAAAAATAGTTAAAATTTTCTATTCAAGACAAGTTATTCTTTTTAACCAAACAAATTAATTATCGGATAACCACATTAGTGGATAATTTAGGTGCCTTTAAAACCTTCCTAAAATATTTATTAGAACCCCGAATTCCCTCAAATATTTTAAATGGATTCCCTACTTTAAACTATTGAAACCCGTTTTTTCTTAATTTTTCTATAAAAATTAAGTAACGACTCTATATCAGTCTTAATAAATATTATAAAAATAAAATAGTACCTTTAATGCATTCTAAAAAGCTAATGCTATCATTTTTAGTATACACTACCTTATAATTGGCTATTTAACTCACCTTAAATTCTTATTATGTTGAAACCATCAAAATGTCCTTTCTGCTTCTTTTCAAGATATAGTTTCCTTGTGTGGAATACTTTGGGTTGAGAACATTGAACTATTTTATGCCTTGGTTTCCTCTCACCTGCACAACATATATAGTGACATCTAAAAAGGGCTGAGTGCCCTTATCAATTTAAATACACTAACATCACCAACTTTTAACCTATTGTCAAGCACCAATGACTTCCAAGTTAAGCGAATTCTTCCTTCTGATATCCCCATGTAATATTTAACAGACCAAGATCTTGTACTAGCAGCACGAAACACTAAATCAGCACACCTCTCCCGAAAATAATTCCAAGAAAATACGAAATATATGAGCTGCCAAAAGAGATGGAGACGATAATTTGAGTATAACAACATCCATCCATACAGTAAATTGGGTATAACAACATTCAATCAAGGGATGAGATTGTTCCTCTGTTAATTAGCGTCTCGACTTAGAGCCCTGAGTATGAAAAAATCTTTGATTAGGGGAACTTTCTCCATATGAGACTATGTAGTGTGAATTTCTTATAGGATGATAACTAGAATTAATATAATATTTTTATTTTGTATTAAGTCTAGCTATAACGTTTGATAGATGGTATTGATATAATGTTTGTTTGTATTTTAGCATTAATTGCAATTGTTTCAGAGCACAACCATTATAGAAAAAGTGGTAAAAAAATTATGATCTACAACTTCACAAACTGAGATAGAGAAATACTGTACACTATACAATTACTTTGTTATCTACATTTTGTTTAAGCTCCATTTTCATATACTCTCTCTATCTTGATGTGTGTGACTTACTGTCCTTTTTAGTTAGTTCAATAAGAATGATTCATTTTTATACTGAGTAAAAGTTTAGCTATAAAATATCTATTTTATCCTTAATGAAATAATTTACATCCATACAAATTTCTATCATTCATTTTGGACAAAAAGTTTTAAAAGTATCATTTCTTTTTTATACTTCGTGTCGAGTCAAATTACCTCACATAAAATGGAACATAGGGAATAATTTATAATAATGTATCATGGAACAATTAATAAATGTATTATATATTTTATTTTAGACTTGTCAAAGGGTAGGCTTGTCAAATTTTGAAGGTGAAAGTTGAAATCTTCATGAAAATTGACCACACCGATATGTTGAGGTCAACCTTTACCAGAGTCTTCATGACAATATTCTCTAATTTGTTAGAGGTCATTTGACTTTAGGTTGTTTATCAACTCATTTTCGGCTTGAAGAATTTCAATATCTTGATGACTTATTGCATGAAATCTCTTCACAGTGTGGTAATTTGGTTTGGGTCATCACTACAATTGAACACCAATTCAATTAGCAAGGACTGCGTTCACTTGGTGATAGAGACCTTGTGGTGTCGACACAAATTTTAGGCTTTCGCTTGAATAGAACACATAATTTGATTACCGTAATTCGGTTTCTATGGTATTTGCATAATTTGATTCTCCACAAAAAATTTCCATAATTTAATTCTTATGAAAACTTACCATAATTTAATTCCCATGGAAAATTTTCATAATTTAATTCCCCATAATTTGATTCCCATGGAAAATTTTCATAATTTAATTCCCCATAATTTGATTCCCATGGAAAATTTTCATAATTTAATTGTTATTAAAACATGCCATAATTTGATTCCAATGGAAAATATTCATAATTTAATTCTTATGAAACATACCATGATTTGGTTTCTATTGTATTTCCATAATTTGATTCCCACGAAATTTTTTCATAATTTAGTTATTATGAAAAATTACCATAATATAATTAGGGTAAAGTCCACATTCATTAACCCTATCTACAAAAGCAAACTTCAACTTCCTCTTGACCTCACCTTCGTTTCCACTTACTATGTTGCCTCTTTGTTCATTGATGAATGTTACTCTATTCCTTATTCTATTGTGGGCTACGCAAGCTCCCTATTCCAATGTTCTCATCTGTCTTTCATACAAGATGTGTTACTCAATCAAGGTAACGTAACTCCTACCTTTTCCCTTTCTTTATTCATCACTGCTCTAACTCTTTGTTGCTTATCCATATGAAATAATTTTTATTGGAAAAATTATTATAGAATATTTAAAATTTGTATTTGAGTTTAAAAAATGGCTAAAATGGAAAATTCATATACGTGGAGAATAAAATTAAACTCTTCAGTTTTTACCTAAAAGATGTTAATTACTTTATTACAAATCACACATATAATCATTACACATTGTAAATATATATATATATATATATATATATATATATATATATATATATATCGTTTTGAGATTAAAACATAAAATATATAATATATTTATGTAGTGGTGTGCTATGCATCTCATGATGTGATATGAATTAGTCATCATTGATATAATAACTATCAAGTCGATACGATGTAATTTGGATATCTTAGAAGATTAATGAAACAAGCACGAAGGGTTTAAAATATACTAAAATGAAAATTTAAGCAAGAGGTGAGTACATATTAAATAATTAGTAGGATACACTTTCCTTCATTTTAGCTCAAGGGTATCATTGTAGCTAGCTTCGTGTAGTTTATCCACTATTTTTAAATAACATAAACTAGGGTACGTTTTAGGGGTTGGTTTTTGGATGATGTTTAGGCTACTTTGTGAATTTGGGAAACCTCACTTCCTTGCCGAGCAGGTAATGTTTTTATTGTATGCTAAAAAAATTATATTTCTGATGCAAAAGGAAATTTCCTCTAGTGAACAATTATTGAATTGCAATTTTATTATGTTCTATGAACCCTACTATTCTCGGTAGGTATTAGGTAAATTTTGGTGCACCTCCAATCTATGAAGTTCTTTATGTCTTCATAATCCGATTATTAGGTTACCATAATGAGGAGATTGGAAGTATAACTTATACATGTTACCTATATATTCCTTCCTTCTTGACCTGGTAAAAAACCAAGATAATTGACCTCAACTAGCTTAGAATTGACACATAATTGTTGTTTAGATCAATTTTTTTTTCTGGCAAATGCCTTTATCATAACATTCACAGAATTCTATATGATGTAAACCTTTTATACTAGTATTATCAATATACTCCTAGCTTCGATATTCACTTAAATTTTGCTTAATCTGATATTGGATTACTTATAATTGGGTGTTATAGTGGGTGTTTAGGTATTATTATTATCCATATACCTAATGGAAAGTTGCACCTGGCTTCGACCTTAGTGATATAACTTATGTAAAAATATAGGACATAAAAACAAACTTCTTAGCATTATGTGGTGCAGGAGTTATTACTGACTAGATACCAAATACAAAGTGTGATTGGCTTAGACTATAGTGATACATAGTGTCATGTCCTGCCACTTCACTGTTCAAATTTGGCATCAGAATAAGGGAGAAAATCTAGAGTTGTGGAGATATTAAAAAAACACTCTCGAACTCCCTAGATATTATCAAGAAGGCTTTAGAATTTCCTAGAAGTTGTAGAGAATTCTAGAATAGGACTTAATTGTAAATATTGTATTGTAAAGGAAAAAATATTTACAACTTAGGCCCTAAGGAGGTAACATTAATAGAGGGCCTCTCATTGGAAATTTTTTCCAACCAAGTGTAAATCATTCGACAAAGTAATACAAAGCCTTCTTGCAAAGTCTTCCTATGTCTTTGTTGCAATATCATAGTGGTCTTAGTTTGAAAATTTCTACTTTAGCTTACAAGATCATGAAATATTCGTGACTAAGTTGTTAGGTGCTGCATGAAACATTATTGAGACTCTAAGTCTCCCATATTATGGTATAAGAGATAAAGTTTACACAAATGGAATAACTAGTGAAGGAGATGTAAACGCTGCTAGCACCACCAACATCAGGTTTGATGGTGGAAGGAATATCTTCAAGGGAAAGAATCAGCACAAGAGTCGTAAGGAAATGTTGGTCAACCTTACACCAAGCGAGATGCTAATAGGTCACCCACCTTCAACTATTGAAGCAAGTGGCGATGAGCATGATAAGGAGATCGTTGACGTCACCAACAGAGAGGAATGAGTCCTTAGGGTTGAAATGGCGAGGTAGACCGTGGAGATCTTAGGCATGCGTCTGAATGATGTTTATGGTAAGTTAAAGACTCTAAAGGACCTCACCAATAAGGAAAACAACAAAATCCACAAGGGGTTTGAGGGCCGCAAACATTGAAGGATGCCATCACTTTCTTGAAGTGGCGAATCATTGGTGCGTTAAGAGTGATTAAAGCCATGAGAGTTCAGAAGAAAGCAATCAAGTGGGGCGTAAAGGCTAAAGGATCTACGCTATATGTCCGAGATAGAGAAGTCAGTGTCGAGGATCTCATGTCATATATATTCAAAGGCATTTGTGATGCCCAAGAGGTGCAGAACTTCTTGTGGCTCTTCCTTAATTACATCAAGTGTAGTCGGGTAAAAAGAGACAAAACAAGATCAACACAGTATTGTTGTATCTTTCTGAGATGGCCATGTTATGGTAGAGGCATAAGGAAAAAGAGATAAGGAAATGGTTGTGCACTATAAACACTTGGGCATAATTTCAAGAAGTTATATAGAAGGACTTTCTCCCTAACAGCGTCATCTAGGAGGCCAGACACAAATTCATATAATTTAAAAAAAATAAGAAATATTCGGGCATACGTGAAGGAATTCATTAAACTCACTCTTCAAATTCCTAACATGAGGAACAAAGACATTTTGTTCCACTTCAATTCGAAGATTAAAAATTGGGCGAAGACGATGTTGGAATGACGGTATGTTGGGACCATAGATGAGGCCATCATACAAACTGAAGCCTTGACTAACTTCAAGCATGACATGCATGATAAGGCAAAGTGGAATGGCGTGAGGACTAGTCATTCTAAAGGTGGCGGAGATCATGGACTAGGTAAGGAGAAGCTTGCATAGTCTAAACAACAAAACTCTTTCTAGTCAGACAACAAGCAGTTTGGGCTCCAAAGCTACACGGTTAGAAAGGTGCAGACTACAAAAACAGATGGTTGCTACATATGTGGTGGACTGCGTGGTTATTCTAAGTGCCCAAAAATTAAGAAGCTTTGTTCAATACTACGAGGTTAAAGAGAAGGACTCATAAGAGAAATGGAAGGATGCGGGCACATCGCAGCTAGCCATGGTTGGGCTATGCGGGGATATTGCAAAGTAGAGGGAAAAGTCTGAAAATTATACCACACAATATGTAGACATCTACATCAATGGATGACAAAATCGTGCCATTCTAGACTCCGTTTCTGAAATGAAGATTACGAAAAAAATGCGACAACAAGGTTGGGGATAAGTTACAATACAAACAACAAGTGCATCAAGAAAGGTATATGCACACCGAACTCCCCTCTTTGGAGTTTCCCAAAGAGTAAGCATCACGTTTGGTAAGTGGCAAGATAAGACTAACTTTACAACATCTTCTTTAGATATATTTGATATCATTCTTGGGCAAGAATTCTTCCAAAAGTGTCATGCGATGATGGATCCCTACATCCAGCGATTCATGGTCATGGAGCGGGAAGGTTCATGGATGGTAACCCTAGTAAATGTGGTATAAAAGAAAGCACATGCCCAATTGTTGGTTATGAGATTTATGAAGGACCTAAAAAAGGAGAGCCGACGTTAATAGCCACCATTTAGAGGTTGTTAGAAGACAATGGTGCAAACGAGGTATTTCCATTGGCCACTGAAAAGATTTTTAAAGAGAATGAAGATGTTATGTCGGACGAGCATCCAAAAAAGCTACCTCCTGGGTGAAAGGTAGATCACAAGATCTAGTTGGAAGTTAGAACCAAGCCACCCACACATGCACCCTTTCGCATGGATGCACCCGAGTTAGAGAACCTAAGGAAGCAACTAGTTGACGCTAGTCACATTCACCCGCACAAATCACCTAATAGTGACCAATCTTGTTTCAAAAAAATAAAGATGGGTCATTGAGGCAATGCATAGACTATCGATCTCTTAACAAGGTAACGATAAAAAATAAGTACCATATCCTGCTTGTTGCTAATTAGATGGATTTTGACATACCAAGTATTTCACCAAGGTGGATCTTCATAAAGGTTACTAGAAGTTTCACATTGCGGAAGGGATGAGAAAAATATGGTCCACATGATGATATTTAAAGCATATGAGCGGTTGGTGATGCCCTTCGTCTTAACTAACGCACCCACCACCTTTTGTATGTAGATGAAGAAAATCTTTTTCTCTACTTGGGATAAGTTTATGGTAGTATACTTAGATGATATCGTCATATATTGGAAAACCTTGGAGGAGCACGTGGATAAGTTGAAGAAGGTTCTCCAAGTATTAATGGATAACAAACTGTAAATCAAGCAAAAGTAATGTGAGTTCGGTCAGCACGAGGTACACTTCTTAGGGCTAAGAATTTTCCAAGGAAAACTGCTTATGGATGAAGCGAAGATATATGCGATCAATAAGTGGGAGGCAACCATAAAAGTGATCAAGTCGAGATATTTACTTGGACTTGTGAAGTACTATCCTAGATTCATAAGTGGCTACTCCTCTAAGGTTTCTCTGCTCATGAGTCATTGTAGAGTAATAAGTCATGGGTTTTGAGCAAGGAGTGCCAAAGGGTTCTCAAAAACATCAATGTTGTTGTAAATAAGAGTTCATCTTGACGTTTTCCCACTTCTGAAAGAACTTCGAGGTATATAAAGAATCATCAGATTTGTCCATCGGGGGAGTATTTATTCAAGATTGACACCCAATAAAATTTGGAAGACGCAAATTGCATGAGATGGAACGACGTTATATGGTGCAAGAGAAAGAGATGGAGGTCATCTTACATTGCCTACGCACGTGGAGAAACTATTTACAAGGCTCCAAGTTCGTGGTTAAGACCAACAATGAGACCACTATCTTATCCCGGTCACAAAAGATCACCTTGAAGTAAGTTAGGTGGCTAGAATTTCTAGCTGAGTTTGACTTCGTTTAAGAATATAAGCCGAGACAGGGTGTCTGATGCACTGAGTAGGAAGACTAAGCTCGCTTCAATCACTACAATGCATCATAAAATCTCAAATATTACCAAGGGTGGCATTCTACGAGAACCAAAGGTGAAGAAACACATGAAGTTGGTCGCCCTAGGCAAGACAAGACATTTTTGTGTTGAAGACCATGTCCTATTCAATATGGGTCAGAGGGTCTATGTACCCAAGTTTGAGACGATTAGGTGGCCAATCATCAAAGAGAACCACTATTGACACCTAATTATGGACTTCCACGATATAAATTAATCGTTTTGAGCTTCTTCAAATTCAAATTTTAAATAGTTTATAACTTATTTATAATGTTTAAATAATGTATGTTTTTACATAATTATGTATTTATTTAGTACATTTGTTATTATTATTATTTATTGTTATTTTTATTATTATTTCGAAAATCATTTCAAAAATTTTAGTTTACTTAAACATTTTATGATGTTAATTTTGCCTAAATTAGTGGTTTGTTATGTCAAAATCTTCAGTCTATTTAATTAATTTATTTATTTCATTAAGATTTAGAAGATCTTTAATTCATTTATAAAAAAATCATTTTTTAAGTGTTGGTCAAATCCACCATCTACATTTTTATCATATTCCAATTGGTTATTATGGAAATTTTAGACAATTTCTTCAACCATTTGCAAGACCCGAAATTGGGACAAAATTTTTGGCCCAAATATAAATTCAATTCAGTACATTCAGAAAGGCCCAATTCTCTAAAACCTCAGTCAACCAAACTCAAGAACCAATTAAAATATACCAATAGCCCAATGACATAATCTCCCAACTCGTCCCACCTTCTTTTCTCAAAAGAAATCAAGCCGCAAGTTAATGAAACGCGACAAGGTCAACAACAATTCTAAACAACCTGGTATGCACCCCCATCTTCCCCAACGCGTAAACAACGCCCAACAACAATCACAAAGAATGATTCCAATCTTGAACATGTGAAATTGTCCTCGCACTTTTGTATGGATCCATGTAGCCTTCAAGGACGATCGATCTATCAAACTTCTTCTAGAATGGAGCTAAACTTTCAGAAAAGGTTGTTTCTCTCAAATGGTGAATGACTTTTGAGATTTGATTTTAGGGTGGGACTCGTTCTTATCGATTTTTTTCCTTTTACCCCAATTCCGAACCCTAATATCTTCCCATATTTACCTCCTCTTTTCACTTTAAGCAGGGGGATTTCTTTGGGAGAAAACAATTTTTTTGTGATAGAGACATAGAGAGTTGAAAATAGCAAAAATGAGGGGGATGTTTGGATGATTTTTTTGTAAAAAAAGAGTTTCAATTAGATGAGACATTAGAGAAAGATTTGGATATTATCTCAGTGTTTAGAGGAAACTGTACGTTTGAAAAGTTCTCGAAGATATTTGGTTCACTCTTAGCATTTGTCCGCTTTGTTTTGTCCTTCCAAGTTTGTTGGGATTCGTCGTTTCGGTGCACAAGTCGTTAATAGCTCGTTGCTTTTAGTTAGATGCCAGAAAAGGTAATATATACTCCTTAATTACTTTTTAGTTCAGTGTACAATAGTATGTAATGAGGTTGTCTCTGTTGTGTCTTTCTCGACTTCATTCTCCCTTGAGACGGATATGAAGGGTCATGGCTTGCTACCATTTTTTTTTCTTGGAGTTCTTGGTTGATCATTCTATTTTCTACATCTTGCCTAAACTATTTGTTCAAATCTATACTTAAGCCTTAAGCTCGGCTGTCATGTTTGTGGTGAATCGCTTGTTGGTCGAGTTTTGATATTTGTGCTCAATAGGTCTCAAACAATGAATATTATTTATCTGGTTTGTTACTGATATACCATTTAGCTCTCATTATAACTTGAATTTTTATGCATTTTGGAAACTCGGTTTCAACTTATGACAACGTTGTTTATTACTAATCATAATCCAGTTTCTAATATGGTTTGTGTCTCATAAGCAAGCTGTTTGTAATTCTTTTTTTTTGTTGTATGTTCTCCTTTGCTTTAGTTTTAAGTTTAGATTCTATGGACCATACTACTAGCTTCAAGTTTAGTTTTGTTGATTTGTTTATCAAATGTCACCATGATGGTGATTAGATAAAGATCTTGCAAATTTATTGTGACATTCACCAATTTTCTTTCTGAGGTACCGTTTTAGTGTGACTGTCACAATAGTTTGTTATCGATTGTTTTTATTTTGGTCATTCTTAGATTTTTTATTTATTACGAATGTTCCCTCTTCATATTTTTTACAAGTAAGTTCTTTCTAAAAATAATTGACTTGGCTCTAAATTGTCTTTAGCTTGAGTACAGTTATATCCCTTTAATATGAGTGTTTTATGATTGCGCTGAAAAAATTGTTCTTTACTTTACTGTTTTGACTTGCTCGCTAATATGAATTTTTCTTCTTAAAATAATTGGTTAATATTTCTCTGTTGGGTTTCATGTGTTTATCTTGAGAGTTTTGATTTCTTTCTCTTTGAAATCAAAAAATGTAATTTTCAGTGCTCAAAGTGTAGAAAGGCACTGACCATTTGGAGAATTAAGGTGTTGTATTTTAAATGCTCAATTTCCTCAATTGATTAAGTTGTTGCAAGATAGATTGCTAATCTTTCTTTTCTTTTTCTTTGTTTTTCTTATGTGATACCAATCCGAGTAACATGGACTCCACTCTTGCATATCATTGAGTCTTATCAAGTCAAGCTTTAGTATTCGGGGGAGAAAGAGAGGCTAATGCAAGACTCCAAAGGCTCAGAAAGGGATCTATATACCGTTTTATACATTGATATATAGTCAGAAAATATGATATGCAAGTCCAAGAAATATACAGGGGATCGAGGAGCTAAATTAGGATGTATAAAAAGAGTATACAATCCAATATAAAGGGAAAAAACTAAAATACACCCCATATAAGGAAGTATAAGATCATTGTATATGCTAGATTTTTGAAGGAAAACAGGCCCAAAGGCCTAAAAATTTACAGCAGCAAAATTTAGGCAAAAAGCCCAAATTTAATATTTCCTTTCCTTCTTATTTATTTATCATTATATTTAACTAAAAATATAAATGACCTTGGTTTTATTTAAAGATGATAGTCATTTCTCTTATTTTTCTATATATTCAAAATTCATGTACATATACGTATGCATATTAATTTTACTTGGTCTTTATTTTACTTTCTAGTCTTTGTCAACACTTAAGTTTATCCCTTTATATAGTTACTTTACCTTTAAAAATAATTAATTAAAAATTAATATATAGTGAGTAAATAAATAAAAATTTGAATTTACATAACTTCAAATTTTTTTGAAAAATATTAGATAAGTCTTTTAGTCAAAATGCCGGTCAATCATGAGTTAGCGGGCATACTAAGGGCCTAACACCTTCTCAGAATGTACATTTGAACTTCGAACCATTTTTAATTGATTTTATTTATATAAATCTTTCGAAAATAATTATAAGTCTTTCTTCATTTATTTACTAAAAATCAAGTGGCGACTTTGTTAATTTGGAAAATTGATTTATCTCAAATCATAAGTTTAATTGATTTTTTGTAACTTAGTCATTCTTTTTTATTATATTTTTTCGTAAAACAGAAAATGCGACTCAGCTGGAGATTTAGTTAAGTTCTAACCATGCGATTTGATTATTTGACTAATTGTTATTAATTGTTAAAAATGATATCTGTATTGAATATGTTCAAATTATATAACTATCATTGAATTTCATGGCATTTTATGATATATATGTATAATATATTAAAGGACGGTTTGCGGAACTGCAACAAATTTTTTTTATACTCAACCATTTTTCTGAACGATCAACAATTTATTGGTTCGTCATCCTTCCTATTGTTGTCGTAAATTCCAACCTAAGTTTTCCATTTTGAATCCAAGTATTTAAAAGCCACTCTTAGTTTACTAGCATAGAGACGAGAAAATTTAGGAGCATTTGAACTAAGATGACCCAATACCCATGGCGTGTTTGTCCATTAGAAGCCCACCTTGTGTCTAGTTTGTCCATTTGCCAACAAATAGACAATCATGTGTACATGTTTATTGAATGTTGTATATGTGTTTTTATTAAATTTATTGTCTATGTTGGTGGGGTTTAACTAATATTTGTTTTCTCTTATTGTAGTAATAATCCAACACGCGAGCCTCTTAGAACAAGAATGTTGATTGTCCCCGACACATATCTCAAAGTGTTATGGAGATTCATGAACTATACATTCAGAATGACAGTTCAAAAACACATAGGTTATCTCCGTCGCTGTTGGAAATGAAGGCTTTGTCAAGCCTATTAGAACAATGGCTAAATTTTTGGATCAGTAAAAACATGGTATTCTGGTTCGGGTAAGTGGAAATGATGCCGACTATTAAAGCATTCCTCATAAGCGATGAGAGTATCGCCAATTACAACAAGAGGAAACGTCAACCAAATATAGATCTTCCAAATAAAAAAATATTGAATTTCACCGAAATCAAAGCGAAACTGTAACTTGTTAAAGCGGAGTAGACGGACAAACTTCTCGGTAAAAATATTCCCTTTATAAAGCTATATTATCGATTTGGACGTGCAAGGGTTTACGAGAAATTTAAAGAAGAGTTCGTCTCTAAATAGAAATGGAAGGAGACACATCCTCTTGCCTTTCCAATATGCTTACTTGGAACAATGGTGTTTCCTCAAGGGAAACTAATCTAGTCATCCAAGTGTAGTAATGATCATTCATGCCATCATCTATGGAGTGGACTATAAGTCGTCAATCGAGTACTACACTTTGGCGCCTATGATCTTTGGCGAAATCTAGAGAATTTTAGATAAATATCAAAGCGGACAGCGTTTATTTCAAGGATGCAATCTTATACTTCAATGGTGGATGATGAAACATCTGATCAAAAGTCATAATCTAAAAGAACCACATTCGGTAAGACTGTCAGACGAACATCAAGGTCATGACTGGTGGATGTAACATAATCATTGTAACAAAACCGGAGAAGAACACTTCAAGTATCTGAGACATCAAGGGTTTAGAGAAGAGGATGTATAATGGTCAATAGACAGTGTAGTGGTGATGAAGGATATGGTGGTTCGAATGGAAAAGGTTCCTTACTTGGTATTTGCTGGATTAAGAGGATTTAGACCACACTGCTCCAGGTCGAGTCCTAAGGCTACTAGGAGGGAAGCAAGAGCTTCCCCAAACCGCAGACATGAAGAAATTTGAAACAGATCACGAAAAATGGACGAGTTGCATTTGTGAAAGATGCATACAAATTGTGGAGGTCTCAAAGAGTATTAGGTGAGCCGGTACCGAATAGGTTTCACTCTGAATGTTGTAAGGATTACATGGAATGGTTGAAGAAGACCCATCACGAAAACTATTGAACCTAGTGTGACTGTTCCTCACATTATTGTAGATGTTGGTGCCAGACATCAAGTACAACTTAACCGACATAAAGAAATGTTCGATAAGAATGATTTGGAGCATCAACTCTGACATTCTATGGACGCCAAAGTGATATCTCAATTGAAAAAAGAGCTATAGAGAGCCAGAAAATGCATGTCAGAGTTGGATGATAACATGGAATAGTTGATTCAGTCGATAAAGGGGTTCAGACATCAAGATGGGCTCGATTGAAAAGAGGTCATCTATGGGAGATGCCATGTGGAAAGATGTCAGATAGCAAAAAGGACCAGACATGGCAAAGGATCATAACATTCTTGAATTTTATCATTATCCCATCGGCGGGATCGCTCTATTTGTAATTTGTTTTGTAATTTATTTCTGAACATATTTCCCTATTACTATGTTTATCATACATTTTGATTTATATTTAATGAATATTCGGGGGTACTGAATTGGTTTAAAATGACATAGATATCGTTCAATTCTTTAGGCCTACCTTTTGCACAAAAGGGTCATAAGCATTCTCAGGACATTATGTCCTATATACTTATATGCTTTAACTATTTATGTGATATGTTTCTTTAAATGAGGTCATTTATAACCCAATCCTTTTCGAAAATTGCCAAAAATATATCCAAGTTACTATAACAAGATGTTCGACCAAAATTTTTAAGTCATGAGTTTCCTAACAAAAAAGTAAGTTGCACATACTAATCCTAAATATCACTCTTTTATCTCATAATTGTAAAATCACAACTATGAAAAAGGGTAAGAAAGTCGAGATGGAACCAACTAGAAAAAAATTGGAGTGGAAAATGCAACATATTATGCTAGAAATTAGAGAACTTAGAGAAACAGGACTCAAGGTTAAAATTTCCATGATAGTGTTAAAAGCCGACATTGGGATGCTAAATGATGATTTGGTAGTTAAGATGGTGAAAATGAAGAAAGTCGAGGCATATGGGAAGGACTTGAGGGAGAAGTTTGAGATGCTCTGACAAAAGATGCAAGAAATAGGAAAGAGAGAAACAGAAGTAGACTTAGCCACTACAAATGTGCTAGCCAGAAGTACAACACTAGACGAAGAATTGGCAGAGGAGATGGCAGAATTTACTTCCATGAGTAAAAATCATCGACAATGTGGAGGGAAAGCAGAGCTTTCAACAAGGACATAATTGCGAGACTTTAGGCGGAAATGCTCTGTCTTAAGTGAAAAAGATAATAGTGGTCCCAAAGACACTCATCTGGATCCACTGAGGAAGATATAAACAAGGAAATCATCTATAAGCCCCCTTTCCTAGGACGTTTAAACGGAGGAGACAAATGGATCGCTCTCCCGGCTTATGAGCTAACACATAGCGTGGAAGAAAGGGTCTGTTGTGTGCTCTTTTGTACGAGAAATTTATGGATTCACACATGTTTAAGCCTCATGAGGGAATAACTTTAGGCTTTGGGAATGAAAACTCTCAAAACAAGTGTGCCTTCCATCCGCTCTAACGAGGACACTATACAGGAATATGCCCATCTTATGGAAAGAATATGCAATCTGATCAACATTAGGAAAATTCGGCACATGTTGGGCTGGAACACCATCCTCACCTATAACTAGTCGGATCCCAATGAGTTAGTCACTAAGAGCACCCGGTTTTATTGTCACCATTTTACGCTAGCTAGAAATCTATAAAGAATTTCGTTTAGAAAGATGTCTTAGCCTTTACCCAAAATGATGACGAACCACTCGATCCCGTTGCGCGTATAAATTTGGAAACCTTGTGGTTATAATGACGCTACAAATCACAACATCGGAAGGTTACTTAGGTTCCTCTATGATGTGGAATCCCTCATAATAAATGGGTTAGCATGTCCTCAAACAAAGCAACTTTTGTGTGTTTAGTTGTTCTCTATGTGGTATATTAGATTATGTATTCTAAACTTAAACTAACAAATTTGCTTTTGAGTAGTTTTTTGTCCACAGGTACTTAGAAACAAGTGTGTGTCGATAAGCTGACTGATCATCCTTACTTCACAAGATCCAAAGGCCGCAGAGATTAATTTCCTGGTCAAAGTTAAGACAAGGAAAAAACAATGATGGGGGATAACAATGAGGAAATCAGCATGATCGATGTTGTCGTGGCTTAACCTACCGTTGCAGATAAAAATTAACTAATCATTCAATGGATGTAGCAGATTGCAAAAATGAGGGTTGAAATGCAGATGAGACAAGATCTGCCTCCGCTGGGTTTTAGTGTTAATGCTTCAGTAAATTAAATCCCTTCGATCTACTTTCGCTCAACAAACATGGAACAAACTCACAACCCACCTTCCACTCCTGCTCAAAATCCGCCAGTCATCGACATAACCACGCAAAATCCATAGTACGTCTCAGCATCCTACAAGACTCTACGCTGTCCTCAAAACCTCAACACTCAAATTCACCTGCACCTCAAAATGCCAATAACCAATCCCCTCAACCCCCACAAAACCGAAAAACATTCAATTCCCAAATATCCATTCATCACCAAAATCAACACACTAACCCCTAAATATTCCCTCAAAACTACTAAAGCACCCAAAATGCCTCAAGTCCCTCCGTCGCTCCCACCTTTACCCACAAAACCACTTTCTTAATTTCCTTTCCAAATGAGCATGACGTGAACAGATTTGAGATCAACCACTATGAAGAGTATGAAAGAGAGTCGAGGTCAAAA